TTAGATCATTCGTTGGCTTGAATATGCATAACACTGTACATGGATACCTAGCAGTTCACAATTTAAACATCGCATATCCTCCTTTTTTTAGACACTGGACGCCAGTCCAATTCTGAATTGTGCTTACCTATTTCTATATCTCTGCATATGCACACTTACATAATATTTCTCTTACCTTTGGTGGTCCCCAGGGAGACATAACACGGGAGAAGAGACTGTAACAGGACAAGAACAGCACCTCTTCTTCATGAGTTCTAAGAAACCTGAGCTTTGACTCATATTTGAGGTTGCCACAAGCTACTTTATCAGGAAAGCACTGATTGAGTGTTTAATATAATCATCCCATTACTCAGTTTTATTTCCCAGCTACAGTTACAAACTAAGTTTGTTTCAGGCTTTAGATGAGAAAAGATGGACCGCTGGAATTTCTCCCCTAGTAGAGCAACTCACCACAATACTAAAGACGTTAATCACATTTAGAACTACAGACAGCCAAGAGAAAGGCTTTCTAATAATCCTGTGTTATTTTACTGCATCTGAAAGATGGTTGTGGCCACATACAGTACATCTACATCTTTAGATGATGTCAAGTAACTCCTGACAAGAAGCATAGCTCCCCCCGTAAATGTTACCAGTCTACCAGAAAAGAAAACATTCCGTTTTAAATCATGCCTGCTGTTGTTTTAGAAAAGAAGGCATAAATTAAATGCAGCAGACATTAATGCCAAAGATACATGTCTAGGAATACTATTATTGCTGCCTAGCAACTAGGAGGGAGTTGGGGAGGGGGGAAATAAAGTGATGGAAGAATCTGATTTTGGCCACCCGAAACTAAAAACAATTTGATCACACTGCACTGTGCCTGCTCTCAAAGGAATTGATTTAGAGAATGGAGAGGAGAGAGGCTAAGTTTGCAGGCAACTCTCCTCCAGCCCCCAGCAGCATTAACATAAGGTGCTGACGAAGGGAGGGGAGAGTGAGGCAGGCTAGACGAATACCAACATGGGATTCACTTCGTTAACCTTCTCTTTACTGCTTATCTACTTCTACTAAACACACTGCACCACAGAGCTGGCAGTTTTTAAGGAAGCAGGTCACTGGTGTAACTCAGATCAGCACTAAAAGGTTTTGCTTTGGACAGTACTATTATTTTCACTCAGAAAGCAGGCAATGCTGCTATTGCTCACTCAGAGCACCAAGCTCATCAGGACCTAAACTGCCTCATGGTGTACTCCTTTCCTAAATACATTCACAGGTCTATTTTCATCTGTTGCTTTTGTTACTGGTGAAAATAATGAGATCTCTCAGCAAGCAACGAGGAAAGGTTCAGGTAACCATGTGAAAAGTAAGTCCAATAGAACAGATTAACTCATACCTTATGTTTTTTGTAAACGAAGTATTTACACCTTTTTATTTGAGACTAGAAGTGAGACATTTTTTCTTATAGTATTCAGAGTCAGAAGTTGCTTTGCATGTTGGCAACTTCACTGTACTACTGTAATTACAGTCACTCTTCATACAGAAAACAAACAAAAGCATTTAAAGCAGTTTTGGAATTCAATTTCTTAATTAGGATGCTCGCTCTCTCTCTCTCTCTCTCTCTCTCTCGCTCTCTCTCGCTCTCTCTCTCTCTCCTACAACTCTCTCTCTCTTCTCTCAGACAGGAGATACTTATGCATCGGAGTGAAATCCACAGCCTCCTGCCCTGGTCACCCCCTTGTTAACCTCTTTTCCATCAGCACAGGAGTGCCAACAACCAATGACCTTTCTGACTAGGCTGGAATGGGGTCTTGAACACTTCTCCGCTGTGAAGAC